AATATTATGCCTGGGTATTTATCAAAACATACATTTTTAGACAGAAAAGGCAGGAATGGATTGTTGGAAACAGAACAAATGAAAGCCACAGCGGCAGAGAACAACCTTGGAAATCTTCACCAGATAGTTTACAAATGGTCATTAAGAAGAAGAATAACATGATTCCACTTAGTATTTGTGTAGCTCTTTAACAGATATGCAACTCTTTTCTTTGCATTAATTCTTTTAAAATGACTCCGGAAAGGATGTTATTTCATTCTTTATGAATTATAAACTAGGGCTTATAAACATTAATGACTTGCTCAAGGCAACACAGCTAGGTAGTAGAAGTGCTGAAATTCTAACTTGGTTGTCTGACTCCAAATCTAACACCTTGGTGACACTGTGTCATCAGGATAATAGCAGCTAACTGAAGCATTGCACAAGACCCCTATTGAGGACATAAATTACCTATTATATTATTCACAATTTTTTACAGATTGGACCATATAAGAACTTTACACTGTTTTCTTTTTTCCACTTTCCTCTAAATAAATTCACTGAGGAGGAATAGATAAAAGTTCATGAACTCTGAATTTCAGCAAATAATTGCCTCAAAAATTTTGGCTTTAAACCACTTCCATTTAAAATGCTTTAGCAAATTCTTCTAAATTGTTACCCTAAGATTTACTTTGGCAGTTTACATATAGTTTTTTTTTTTTTTTTTTTCTTTCCTTTCCCTCCTCCCCGCACCTGGAGTGCCTTAAGACTTTCATCAGAATTTTCCATAAATGATATATTCATCCATTAAGCAGATAAACATCTTCAATTTTATCTGATGATAAAATTGGAACTAAACTGCTGATGCCAGATTTGTGTGAAGGGTTTTCTGTCATGTCCAGTTTTTCTTTTTTTTGCCATTTGTAATTCAATTGCTGATGTACCTTAGAGGATTCTTTGGAGGGAGAAATGGGTAGGTCCACATTACTTTAGAAAAAGCACTGTTGAAGTAAGAGAAAAGTAGTTTCTAAGTCTGAAACACGTATGTGAGTGTGGCCAGAGATAATTACTAAGGGGAGAGGAAGACGATGGGAAGAGAATTGGCAAGAATTACCTTTTGTCCTAAGTTCTGCTGAATTCCTCCTGGTTGGGGGAGGTAGGATGGGGATACAAAAAAAAAACAACTCACTGTCGTAGATTAACTCATAGCATCCCCTCCTTGGGTTTCCTTCCGAGGAGTGGCTGGTGGATTTGAACCGCCAACCTTCTGGTAAGCAGTCAAATACCTAAGGCACTAAACCACCAGAGCTCTCAGGATGGAATAGGTAGCTTATTTTCAGCTTGTCCTTCTTTCTCTTTTCTCCTGCCCTTGAATGAGCTGGCACTCTTACTAGCTACTCCTTGTCTTTGCTCTGTGGTTCTAAGAGCACCTTATCAAAGTTAGCTCTCCTCTGACCTTTTTACTTGTGGTTGCTATGATACTACAACTGTTCTGCATAACATGAGGTAAAGTTGACTCACCCTGTGGCTTTTCTGGATCTGTTTGTTTCTAACAAGTGGCCCAGAAACATCTGCTGTGTGACCTTTGTGGTGCTTTATCACAACTAACATTTTCTCTCCTTTGTTGTACAAAAATAAGTAATAATTTTTGGTAACAAACAAATAAATTAAACTTTACTCTTCTCCTGTGTGGCTTTGCTAATCCCATTCAAAATGCTAGTGGAAAGTGGGGAAGTTCTTCACTGTAATGTTCAGCAGCTTAGCTTCACAGATGTGTGATGCCTTTACTGTTAGTGATCTGTGGTGTAGTGCCTAGGCATTTGACTGCTAACCACAAGGCTAGCAGTTCAAATCCACCAGCCACTTCTCGAAAGGAAGGTTGGGTAATCTACTTCCATAGTGTTACTACCTCAGAAACCCAACGAGGGGTCTCTATGAGATGGATCTGATTTGACAGCAGTGAATTTGTTTTGTTTTGTTTTTTTTTGGTTTGATTTTGTTATATTTACTAGTAGTATATAATGTTGGCACAAGAATTAGTTTTGGCTTTATAAATTTGATAAATGACTCCTAGAGAAATGAACATATGGAATAATATATGTTGTCCATTCAACTGGAAACTGAATCATTTATACAGTGTTCTTATCAGATTATAAAAACATATTTATGGAGTTGGGGGCATAGTTGAATTCTGTTGCTGCTTTATTGCATATAAAATTCAGTAGGCAAGAGATAGAGCCCTATTTAATTCTGAAAAGAATGTTTCAAATTAATGTTTGCCCTCCTTCCACAAATGTCAATAAGTGAAAGCAAGTTGAAAAACATAAGGCTTTGTTTTATATATATATCAAACTCACTGCCGTTGAATCATTTCCAACTCATAGCAACCTCTCTCTTTGGGTTTCCTAGTAGGTATCTCTATGGAAGTAGATTGCCCAACCTTCCCTTCAAAGAGTGGCTGGTGGGTTTGAACTGGCAGCTTCTACTTAGTAGTTAAAATGCCTTAGGCACTCTACCACCAGAGCTCTCTCTTTATATATCTGCATATATATATATATATTTATGTGTGTGTGTGTATAAACACACACACACACACACATACTATGTTTATTTCCTAGGGATCATATATCAAGTTTATAAAGCTAAAAGTAATTATGCTGACATTATACATATATGTATATGCATGTATGTATATATGTGTGTGTATATGTATACTACTTTTTGAAGTTTATTCAGTATTTTAACATTTAAATCTTTTTATTTAAGATCATTATCATCATTTTGTACCATGCAACCACCTTACAATTTCTTTTTGCTTATCTGATTCATTAGAAATGCAGAAAACTCTGTTTCCATCACAGAGTTATCTCAGGTTCCTTTTTTAGTTTGAATTTGGGGGAATATGTGAGGGAGCCATTATAAGAGAGATTGTGCTATGTGAATCGAAACCATGGGTCCAGTAGGTAGCACAGTGTTTTGACTTACCTAGTGCTACTCTGAGAAGAATATACCACAAATACGATGGTGTTAACAAACAGGAGTTTATTCTCAGAATTTGGAGCCCGAGTTCCAAGTGCCAGGTCCTAGGGGTTGTGTGAGAGCTCCTCAACCTTGGGCTTCAGCTCTGCCTCTTGCTCCAGGCCCACTGAAGCTAGAGGCATCTCTTAACTCAGGCAGCTACTGGCTGCTGAGGCTAACAATCCCAAGGTCAACAAATAAAATGGCACAGTCCCGATGTTATAAAACCACATGGCAGGCCATTGATTCAAGTCCATTGAGAGTCTCGAGATCGGCAGGCAGAGTGTGCCAGGCTGCTGAATAATGACTTGGCCACATGCAGGGTTTAATCATGCCGTAAGCTAGAGACCATTCCCAAAGCTGTTTCTTATATGTAGGAAGCAGACCACATCCCTAAAGCAGCTACTCAACTGCTCCAATAGATTCCACCACGTAGTAATTACCAATCTCACCATGGGGAATAACTATATCCAGATGCCCAGCCACTCAACCAGGCCCAGCTAAGTTGAAACTTAACTACCATGCACAGCAAAACTGCTTCACATTTCTATGTGGTAACTGATCTCTTTGAAAAAATAACTGGGAGAAACTTAGAGGGCAATGAGTTTGTGTTGATGATGGTGAAACAGTTTGGGAAAGGTAGCACAACTTGAAGACTATAACCAATGTCATTGAATTGTACGTGTAGAAATTGTTGAATTGATCTATGTTTTGCTGTGTATATATCTTCACCAAAAAAATAATATATGTATATAT